CTCAGGGACTAAGACGCTGAGCTTGTCGATCAGGAAGGTCGGCAGTTCGGCGGTTCGAATCCCTAGTGCCGCGTAACTTCCCAAGCATCTGAATTTCGACGCTGTGGCCCACGGAAGTGCTGCAATGGTCGTTATGTGGGGAAAGCAGTCCTAAGTCACTTTTTTTTCAGTGCCGTCATAACTTTGCTCACTAAACGGACTGTCGTAAGTCGAGGACTGCCTGTAAAATGGGGGCAAACCTCACTTTTAACAACTCTGTCGGTCAGAAGTGGAAATTTTTAGGCTCCATTGCGGTCATAAGTCGAGGACATGGTGCCGAAGGTGTTTTTTTTTTTTTTAATGACCGAATCCTTGGGAGGGTAATCAACGCAGCCGCCAGATGGAGGATTTGGTCCTTTTCTGCCACAGGTAGATGCCAGAAACATCGATGGGAGCACCCCGCTCTGCGATGCTTGCGCCTCAGGGAGCATTGAGTGCGTGAAAGTCCTCCTCTCGCACGGGGCAAAGGTCAACCCGCCATTGTACATCGCGTCGCCCCTCCACGAAGCCTGCTTAAACGGTAAGGTGGCTTTTGCAGGGGTAAGACGGGGGGCCTGGGGCCACCCCTGGGAGACTGGAGGGTTTCTGCTCACCACGAATCCATCGGAAGGGCTGTCGAGGGTTCTGGATTCAAATTCAGCTCACGCTTCCCTGCCTGGATTCTATGTAGCGCCCCCCCTCCCTGCACCTCCAATTAGGCCCGTTCCAATAAAAAGCAGGAATTACAAATTTCTGGACCATTTATTTACAGTCAATAGAGTTTGGGTAGTCGTTTGTCAAGAGTGGGATAGGGTCTCCAGCAGGGGGTTAGATTAGAGGACCTCCAAGGTCCCCCCCCACTCTTTGATTCTATGATTCCGAGATGGATGAAATACACGACAGACAGAATATAGTAGGTTGGTTGGAGGGATGGGATTGAGGAAAGGAGGGAGGGAGGGAAGAAGGAAGGCAAGAGAGACAAGAGGAAGGAAGGAAGGAAGGAAGGGAAAGGAGAAGAAAGGAAGGGAAGGAGAGAGAGAGAGATAAAAGGAAGGAAGGAAGAGAAAGGAGAAGAAAGGGAAGGAGAGAGAGAGATAAAAGGAAGGAAGGGAAAGAAGGGAGAAGGAAGGAAGGAGAGAGAACTAGACAAGAGGAAGGAAGGAAAAGGAAAGGACAAGAGGAAGGGAAAGGAGAAGAAAGGAAAGAAGGAAGGAGAGAGAAAGACAAGAGGAAGGAAGGAAGAGAAAGGACAACGAAGGAAGGAAGGAGAGAGAAATAGACAAGAGGAAGGAAGGAAAAGGAAAGGAAGGAAGAGAAAAGAAGGAAGGAGAGAGAAATAGACAAGGGGAAGGAAGGAAGAGAAAGAAGAAGGAAGGAGGGAGAGATAGACAAGAGGAAGGAAGGAAGAAAAAGGAGGAAGGAAGGAAGGAGAGAGAGAGAAATTGACGGGCTTCCTGGACACTGGCTGGAAAACAGCTTTAGCTGTCGCTCTTTGGAATCAGCGGTTGATTGATTGGCACAAGCCAACCGAGAGTGACTCGTCTCCCTTCATCTGTCTCCGTTTCCAAGGCAGCGCCGAGTGTGTCCGTCTCCTGATTGAGGTCGGCGCGAACCTCGAGGCCCACGACTGCCATTTTGGAACGCCGTTGCATGTGGCGTGTGCGCGAGAACAGCTGGATTGCGTGAAGTTACTGCTCAACGCAGGTGAGCCGCTGCCAGGAGAGCAGGGAGTGACGGGTAGAAATGCAGGATTGGAAGCAGGCGGCCCAACCTGGTTCAGGGACCCTTTACCTGCTCTAGTCTTCACCTGTTGGGGGCCAAAGCTTTATCCTGCCTATCTTGTCTAATGGGCAATTAGTCTAATCAAGGGGTCGGCAACCTTAAACCCTCAAAGAGCCACAAATGTCCTAACCGGAAGCTCCCCGTTCAATTCTGGAGTCGACCAGAAGTCCAGTTTGCCCACCATAGAGTCTCCTCCTAGCACGGCATCCTTTTTCCTGTGCTGACCGGAAGTCCAGTTCCCCCACCATAGAGTCTCCTCCTAGTGCGGCATCCTTTTTCCTGTGCTGACCGGAAGTCCCAGTTCCCCCACCATAGAGTCTCCTCCTAGCGCGGCATCCTTTTTCCTGTGCTGACCGGAAGTATTTGTATTTATATTGTATTTATTATACTTGTATGCCGCCCTATTCCCGGGGGGACTCAGGGCGTCCAGTTTCCCCATCATAGAGTCTCCTCCTAGTGCGGCATCCTTTTTCCTCTGATGACCGGAAGTCCAGTTCCCCCACCATAGAGTCTCCTCCTAGTGCGGCATCCTTTTTCCTGTGCTGACCGGAAGTCACAGTTCCCCCACCATAGAGTCTCCTCCTAGCGCGGCATCCTTTTTCCTGTGCTGACCGGAAGTATTTGTATTTATATTGTATTTATTATACTTGTATGCCGCCCTATTCCCGGGGGGACTCAGGGCGTCCAGTTTCCCCATCATAGAGTCTCCTCCTAGTGCGGCATCCTTTTTCCTGCGTTGACCAGACGTCCAGTTCCCCCCACCATAGAGTCTCCTCCTAGCGCGGCATCCTTTTTCCTGTGCTGACCAGACGTCCAGTTCCCCCCACCATAGAGTCTCCTCCTA